AGCAGGGGGGAGTGGTAGAGAGAGGGAGAAGCAGACTCCCTGATGAGCAGAGAGCCCCATGTGGGGCTCAATCCAAGACCCCGGGATCACGACCTGAGCTGAAGGCAGACACCCAACCGACTGAGCCACCCAGGTGCCCTAAAGACAGTTTCTATGCCTCTCGGTAGCTTCACCTTGTAGACTTCCATGTTTTGTTGCTTCTTCCTCAAGGCAGCTCTGCTTGCACAGCTACAACCAGCCTCCCACAAGCATCTTCCCATGGGCTGGATGCTCCCCTGCCCTACCCCACCTCTCTGAAGCAGTTGATGTCCAGCCTAGCAGTGCTTCTGCACCTTGTTAGAGCCATGGAGCTCTTTGAGCATCTGATGAAAGCTACAGACATTTCTCCAGGAGAATTCTGTGCCAGCCAGAATGCCCAAGACCATGACAGGTCCCTGATCCTCTGCACCTGATGATTTATCTTGCTAGATATGGGGATGGGTCTCAGGCTTCAGCTGTGGTGGGCGTGTGCTTCCTTAGGAATTCATTATGATAACATACGTCCCGTCCCACCTGGGACTAGTCAAGTAAGCTTCATGCTCTGTGCTTCTGACTGATCCTTTCTCTGTTTTCATATAACCAAGTGCTTGTGTTGCCAATGGGCCTGCACAGTGTAGGTCTAAAGGAAGCTTTTGTTTTTTCTTTTCTATTGGGATTTCCCAAGAAAAAGGAATAGGTCCTGGGGCCACTGTTGGTTTGACTCTGATTTGTTTCAATCCTTAACTGAGTTTAGATCTGTTTCAAGGAGTCTGAGCCTTTACCAATTTGCTCTTGGCTGAGTTTTAATAAATACAGGCGAATAATCTGCCTCTGTGTAAGTCATGGTCTTTTTGTGACCCTCCGCATTTCTGATTTGGCCTTTTTCTTAAGGTCTTGGAGCTAGTTTCCATCACAAAGTGAGGGACTGGACTGGAGTAGATGTACTTGAACAGCACTTCTCCGAGCACCTCGGGCTGGAGGGGCGGGGATGGGGTTGGGGGATGGGCAGGGCACCTCAGTGGGGGTAGGGGGGGCATGGGTGTGGGGAGGGGCTCCTGCCTGCAGAGCTGCTTCCACCACAGCGGGTCTGATTTATGTGCTTTACACAATGGGTCCGGAGTAAGATTTGTTTCGGACAAATTCCACAGGGGATGGCTGATGTCTGTGCGGGCCTCCTCCCTGAGCAGGAGTCCTGTCACCTGGCTGCAGGTGGAGGCCGGGAGCAAAGGCGTGCCTGTCTAACCCTCCCATCCCCCCACTCTGTGGCAGACCTCCCTTCCCCTTGACTCCCTGACTCTGTTCCTAGTTCCAGTTCCAGCAAGGATGTTGTTACCTTTGGCAATGAGAATGTTAGTGCTGCTGCCCCTGAGTCAGGCCGCGCCCAAGGATGGAACCGTGAGGTAATGGGCCTCAGAGGGCAGGGCCACAGGCTGGGATATGGAGGGTCTCTGGAGAATCTGAGGGTGTGCTGGGCCCCTCTGGGAGGCAGGAGCCTGGAGTGTATGTATCCACCCCCCTTCCCCAGTTACTGCCATCTCTGTCTGTGCCCATAGGGGCGCCCTTCGCAGAGTGGGCACCTGGTGCACCTTTGCTGGGATCAGCTCATCTGGGATCCGGGGACTCCGTTCCAGCGGGGTGTGAAGTTTGGGGAAGAAGCTTTGGGCCGGGGAAGGGGCTGCGCTTCTCTTCTCAAGACCTTATGTGGGAATGCCAGAGCCTTGGAGATCATTAGCAGACCAATTCGGGGTTGTGTGCCCAACCGTCTCAAGGGTTCCGGTGTGAAGAGCACACCGCAAGTACGTGGGCTGGGGTAGGGGGACAGATATAGGGAGAGCAGCAAGGCTGGCCATGGGGACAAAGGCTGCTGCCGCAGCTCCTGCCAGCCATCTGGCCTCACAGGTCTGGACTGATCTGGGCAAACAGGCAGCCCCTTCCAGAACTGGGAGCAAATCTTGGGCTTGGAGGACTGAGAAAGAAAGCCTGAGCAGATCAAAACTCCAAAACCAACATCTACGCCCTCAGCTTGTGTCGTGGAGCAAAACCGGTCTGCGGAAACCTGGGCAGTGCCTCGGGGCTGAGCCACAGACCTGCCCCTCGGGCCCGGCCCCAGAGCCGAAGGGTGACCGCGAGCCCCGCTGTCCGGACACCCACTCACTGTTTTCTTGGGTCTCCAACTTGTATCTACTAGGTGTGGCTTCATCTGGCCTCTGTCTAAGCAGGTGCTTTATTTGGGTTTTCCCTTAACATCTAAGTTAGGAATCTGTAAAACCAGTCTGAGGGAGTCAGGTTCTGCTTCTAAGACCAGAAGGGCCTCCTCCCCACAAGGTGTTTGGGAATTTGAGAGAACAACGCCCCTTGGGCCTGGGGAGAGAACTCTGCCAGGAGCTTGAGGGTGGAAGGCTGGTAGGCCGGATCCTCAGGGAGGCTCTTGGCAAGCCTGGCCCTTCTCTTCCTCCTCCAGGCTGGACGCCGAGGTGCAGCAGCTGCCCCTGTCCAACCCCTTCCAGCCAGGCCAGGAGCAGCTTCGGTGAGTGGGCCGGGCGGGGGCTGGGCCTGGGTCTGCACACTGGCCTCTCTGGGCTTACTTTCCCCATTTCTGCCAGGCTTCTGCAGAACTACCTACAGGGACTGGAGAGAATGGAAAAGGAGCCGGAACACATGAGCCGGGAGCAGGGTGAGGGGCTGGGCACCGGGGCCAGTGGGCAGGGGGCTCAGGGGCAGCAGAGCCAGGACTGACCCCGGGCTGTCAGTTGCCCCCTGCCTCCTCCACCTGTTCCTGGTGCCTCTTCTGATCCGGCTTCTCCTCCTTAGTTCTCCTCTACCTCTTTGCCCTCCACGACTATGACCAAAGTGGACAGCTGGACGGCCTGGAGCTGTTGTCCATGTTAACTGCAGCTCTGGCGCCCGGAGCTGCTGATTTTCCTATCGCCAACCCGGTAAGCCCTGCTGGCCGGGGGGCCCCTTCTCCCACGAAGGAGACTCAGCTTCTTGGGGCTTTAGTCTTTTTCATCATGACTCTTTTGGTGAATCCACAATAAAAGAAGTGCTCTGAGCCTGCCTGGCAGGGATGTGGGGAGGTGTTGGGAGGGTCAGAGCTCCTGGGAACATCTCTTTCTGCTGCAGACTCTCCAGCAAACGTGTGCTTCCACAGGTGATCCTGGTAGTGGACAAGGTGCTCGAGACCCAGGACCTGAATGGGGATGGGCTCATGACCCCTGCAGAGCTCATCAACTTCCCAGGAGAGGCCCCAAGGCACACAGAGCCCAAAGAGCCCCCAGAGCCACAAGATGTTGGGAGGCAGTCCCCATTAGCTAAAAGCCCGTCCAGACAAGAGCTGCAGGGAGCCCTGGGTCCCAGAGAAGATGGGGCACAGGTAGAGGCCACAAGGGAGTCCTTGGAGCCTGTACAGGAGGCTGGGGGACAGGCAGAGGCTGAAAGAGAAGCCCCAGGCCCTAGAGCAGAGGCTACGGGCCAGGAAGAGGCCAGTGACGCTGGAAAGGACGCAGAGGAGCATCCAGGGGAAACACCGGAATCCAAGAACACCCCAAATGAGTTTGAAGTTCATGTTATTCAACTGGAGAATGATGAGATATGAACCTTGAGGCTAGAGATTTGCACCCCTAGAAGTCTCAGCACCAGAACATAAGCCCCAAAGAGTGGGCTGTGTATGCTGGGTGTATGTCTGCTTCCTGGCCCCGGAGGGGCAGGTCTTTCTGTGCAGCTCAGGGAGACCCGAAGTTGAGGGGGCAGCTTTAGGGCCCAGATAACCAATAAAGAACTGAATGAACTCATCTGCTTGGGCCATCTACTTAACTGGTCTGGCCGGTCTGGCCTCAGGGACGCAGGGGGTGGGGGATTGGACAGGCCTCTGGGAGGGGCTTCGGCTTCCACCCTGTTCCCAGAGGGTGCTGAGACAGCAGGGGACGGCAGCGGGGCCCAGCTGCAGACAAGCTGGGGAAGAGAGCGCAGCCTCTCGCTGGGGCCCAAATGCCCCTCTTCCCCCTCCCCTGGGGTTCAGACACCCAGGACCCTCCTGCAGCTCCGAGCCGGTCCTCCCCACCACCCTGTAGGTGCCCTCCCCGTAATATTAACAAGAATGGCCATTTACTGAGAGCCGAGTACACACCAGGCGTCATGCTGGGCATTTTCTACATTGTCTGATTGTATACTCACGATAATTCTACCACCAGGCAGAATTAGCTCCATTTGACAGATGAGGAAATTGAGGAAGACCGAGTCAGTAATGTACCCAAGGTGACACTGCCAATTAAGTGGCAGATTTGAATTCAGGTGTGTCAGACCGCAAAACCCATGGTCCTTAGCACATTCTGTGGTCTCACACCCTGCCCCAACTCCCATATGAAAACTGGCTAATTCCAATATGCCCTCAGCCCTGGTCTACCCCAGGGACATGAACACTGAGTCCTGGGGCACATCTGTGGCCGAGGCAGCGCCTTAATGACAAGGCGGCTCCAAGGGTGGGGCTTCAGGCTCTGGGACAGTCACAGGGGAGATATTTTTGGACCGTGAAGGCACCACCAAACCACAGAGAAGTCTCCCTGCCCACTGGCCTGTCAGGTTGGCTCAGCCGTGTGGACAGTCCTGGAGCCATCAGACTGGAGTCTTGTGACAGCCCAGGGGCCCAGAGGAGATTCTCTGGTGGCTTATTATTTGGAAGGTTCCCTGGGGTACAAGGAGATACGTGTCCTCCCCAGCCAGGAAGGCTCAGGGTCTCTACCCAGCCCCTGTGGCTCCTCTTCACCAGAACCAGTTGGGCCTCCACCCAGGGCGCAGCTGGTGGCAAGTCGGGGGTACTTCCTGCTACTCCGGTGTAGGCTGCCCCTCCTCTGGGCCTACGCAGGGAGGTTACTTTGAGGAATAGAGAATAAGAGGGTGAAGGGCTGTAGCATCAAAGCCTCTGGCGTCCCCAGCCAGAGCCGTTCAGACATCAAGGACAAACAGACTGGCAGAAGGAAGCCGGCTCTGGGGCAGGAGATTTATTTGCTCGGCGGCTCGGTGGTGTGAGCCGCCAGGACACAGGGGGAGCGCCCCCCACAGGCTGCATCTGCCCAGGGAGCGGGGCAGTGTGGATGCCAGGCTGGATGGAGGCGCCAGCCTCCAGGGAGGGGGTGGTGTGAGCCAGTGCCCCCTGCCACAGGGCAGTCACACGATGCCCTCAAAGCCCTGCAGGCCGCACTTCTTGCCGGCCACCTGGCAGCCAAACCTCAACGCCTCCTGCATACTCTTCCCTGGAGGGGCAGAGAGCTGGATCAGCTGGGTCCTCTGGGCAGGGGCAGGCCTCAGCCTGGCGCCTCCTGCCGGGGTACTCACCCTGGGACAGGCTGAATATGACCGAGGCGTTGAAGGTGTCTCCGGCGCCCAGAGTATCCACCACCCGGGGTGGAGGGAAGGCGTCCGAGTGGAGCAGCCGTCCATCAGGGCCCAGGGCATCGGCGCCCTCCTCAGCCCAGGCGCAGACCAGCATAGCCCTGCAAGACCCTCCACTCAGCTGGGTCGTCGGCCCGCCCCTGGCCCCCAGCCTCATCCCCCTCCTCAGGGCAGTGCCGCCCCTCCCCGCGCCAGACTCACTGGCCCTCCACACCTCGGTCTCTTCCTGGCTTTCCCCTACTCACCCTTCCCTCACACGACCGTACAAACCCCTCAGGGCCTCCCCCGCTGACCGGAACCCCAAGTGCTTGGCCACATCTTTGCTGACAAACACCTGTGGGCAGTGGAAGAGAGGCTGACGGTCCCCCAAACGCAGTCCCAGCTCAGTCACTCACCACCAGCAGCCTAGCGTTGCCCCCGTATTATAATGCCACTCCTCCAACATGGCCGCCTAAATCCCCAACGTAGCATCTCACTGCCCCACAGGAATGCGTTTTCATACTTGCCCAAGATACATGCTAGAAGCCAGTCCCGTAAATTGTGGCACAAAAGTCTCTGGTTTATTTGGTCTAAGATCAACGAATTTCCCTGCAATTGAAAATCCAAAGCGAGCCTTGAGCGCCATCTCGCGGTGAAAGCTACCACTGCCAAGTTACACCTCCCGCTCTCAGGAGCGGTTTGCTTTGTTTTGCTTTTCCTGATACAACTATGCCCTCCGGGCCTAGTTTCTTCGCCTTTAAAATAAAGGCGCAACGGGGCGCCTGGGTGGCTCAGTTGGTTAAGCGACTGCCTTCGGCTCAGGTCATGATCTCAGGGTCCTGGGATCGAGCCCCGCGTCGGGCTCCCTGCTCCGCGGGAAGCCTGCTTCTCCCTCTGACCCTCCCCCTGCTTGTGTTCCCTCTCTCGTTGTCTCTCTCTCTCTCTGTCAGTTAAATAAATAAATAAAATCTTAAAAAAATAAAATAAAATAAAGGCGCAGGGGTTGTAGAGCTTCCTCAACCAGCTACACGTTAGAATTGCCAGAGGGACGCGATCCCAGGACCCCGGGATGCTTCTCCCTCTCCCGAGGCTCCCCCTGCTTGTGTTCCCTCTCTCGCTGTGTCTCTGTCAAATAAATTAATAAAATCTTAAAAAAAAAAAAAAAAGGAATTGCCAGAGGGAGTTTGCTAAAAAATACTTCAGCCAAGCTCCACCCTCACCAATCAAATAAAAACCCGCGATAAAAACCCGCGGTGTGGCTCAGGCATCCACACCTCTGGGCAGCCACAGTGGAGGCCCAACCAGCTTGGGCTATGATGCCAGGATTGTCACTCGGAACTCATTTCCATCCCAGCACTACCCAAATTTACCTTATGCAAGTCCCCTTCCCATCCTCCCTCACCCCTTGGTGGCTCCCACAGCCCGCCACCCACCCCAGAGTTGGAGGACACCCGGCAGAACAGTCCTAGTCCCTCATTTGAGGGGGGGGGGGGGGGCGGAGCCGGAGGAGGCCCAGAGAGGAAATGCTCCCACACGGGGGCGCTGGCTGGCCCTAGTAGCCCTCTGGCCACTCTCGTACCTACGCACCCACTGGGATGGAGACATTTTTCTCCATCGCCACCACCGAGGCCTGCAAGGGAGTCCAAAGCTGGGGGCCTGCCTCTTTGCCCCCCACCCGCCAATGACAGCAAGCCATTCCAGGTGTGGTGGGCGTTTCCGGTGACCAAGGGAACGCTTGGTTCCTTTTAAGACCTAAATGAGAGGCGCCTGGGTGGCTCAGGGGATGATCCCAGGGTGCTGGGATGGAACGCCCCCCCCACTCCCGCTCTCTGCTCAGCGGGGAGTCTGCTTCTCTCTCTCACTCTCCCTCTGTGCTCTCTCTCTCTCACAAAACTTAAATGAGCTGGATGTGGCAAGGGGAAGCTGCATGGGCCACTCACCACATCTCCATAGCCAAACAGTTGGAACAGCTCCTCTCGGGGCTTCTCCACCTCCACGGACACTCGGATCTTCTGACCCGGAGGCTGTGTGGCATTGTGCTGTTCTATCCGCTGCAGCATCTTCACCTGCTCTGATGCATTCCGGCCCTGGGGTGGGGTGGGGCGGGATGGGGCAGCTCAGGACCAGCTGGGCAGAGCAGCTGCTCTGGCTTCTTCTTCCCTCCCTGCTGGTGGGCGAGGGGGGACTGGGTCGGAATGCCATCCGAAGTTTCAAAATTCTAGAGCAGTCATGGACCTTGGAGACCTTATTGACCACCTCCCAGCACCCCCCCCACACACCCTGCCATTTCACCGACGAGGAGACAAAGGAATTAAAGACTTTCCTAAGGACCTATGGTGAATTAAATGACAAGGCTAGGATTAGAACTCAGGACTTCTCCGAGTGTGGAGGAGGTGGGCAGCCTGGGACACAGAAAGCATGGGCCTTTGCCTGGAGCCAGCATCCTGCTTCTGGTGCCTACATCCTGCTGTGTGAACCCGAGTAAGGTGCTTTCTAGGCCTTAAAACACAGAGCAAGCTGGAGAGGGGATGAGGGGGGTTGGCGTCCTTTATCTTGAAGTACTTCATGGTTCAAAAAAACTAAGAAGAAGGCAGAATACGTGAAAGGGCTGGCAGGTTGAGCCCCTCGAAACACAGGTAGGGCAGGACTTGCCTCAATGTGGATCCACTTGAACCGGGTCAGATCAACCTTATCAAAGTCTGTAGCAGACACATCTGGCAGGTTCCTAAGTCACAAGACAGAAAGGAGAGAGAAAAGCCATGGTGAGGTCAGCCCGGGCCCGGATCTCTGGCTGCTGGGGCCCTATACCTGGTGCTGCCTGCAGCATGGCCAGACTGGATCTCCAACACAGGCTTCTGAGGCTCAGCTCCAGGACAGGCCCTGTTCCAGGCTAAACTCCTGACCACTCCTTGCCCTACTCAGCTCCACCCAGACAGGAGGCTGGAGGCAGTCTGCTAGGGTGCCCTTTGGGCATGGGTCAAGAGGCCAGCTGAGTGTGCCCTGGAGACCACATCTCCCAGAACACTCTAAGAGCACCAGGGACTACAATTCCTAGAATTCCCCCTCACCAGTGGCACACGTGCTCCCAGCATGCAGTGCCCCGGTGAACTCCAAAGGCCACGGCTGCTCTGCGCCTGGTCCCGTTCACTTCCGGTGCCCCAGCAGTGACAGCACCACTGTTCTAAGTTTGGCAGCTTCATGTTGCAACCCTGAGGTCAAGGTTGATGCTCGAGGATGAGTTTATAGTTTAGCTGACTTAGGTGTGGAGCCCCGGGAAGGGTCTGCCTTGACCAGAGACCTACACCTAACCTATGTCCTCCCCTCCATGTTCTGTAGCTGAATCGATCTAAATAGCTGTGTACCTGGGCCTTTCTGAGGCTGCTTTGCCATTGGCAAGTGGGTCCAAACCTGCCAGTCGGCTGCAGTTGGAGGTAATGTGTGTGGATATCCTTGCACTGAGGCCAGGAGGCAACAAATGTTTCTCCTCTGAGCTCCTCTCCTCTTCCTGTGAATACTCATGTGGTGTCCTTGATCAAAGTTGCCAGATTGTTGCTTAATGGGCAGATGACTAGGACTGCCCAAGGAGAAGGTCATTGCCAGCACATATGCCCACTGGGACACACGGAGCCCAGAGACCACTGGCCATAAAGCCTGTCCTAGTATAGTTGCCCCCTCTCCCCCAGGTCCAGGAGTCATGCTGGGCAGTAGGGACAGCCTGAACCCCAGGGCTGCTGGGTCTGGACCACCTCAGCCCTAACACAGTACCTGGCACATACTAGGTTCTTAGTAAACTAAAGGTCTGAGATTCTTCAGGAGGGACTCTGGGAGAGAGGAGAAGGGTCTGGGTCCACAGGGCCTCTCCCCAGTAGCTTGGGACTTTAAAGGGGATCCCTTCCCCTTAATTAACATGGCATCTGATGGCCCTGATCTCCGGACCCAATGTTCCCCTTCTTGCTGCTTCAGTGATGCCTGTGAATTGTGTGTGGCTTCTGGCCTGGCTTCATTATGCCGGGACCTTTGTGGTGGGCTCATCTCTTCTGAACACCCAAACCCAGCTCCTCGGTGCCATGCTGCAGGCTGGCAACTCTGGGGCTGACCCTGGAAATTCCAGTGGGTCCCCTTCAGGGCTTAAGATGGTTGGAATCACATCTCCCATCCATCCCTCTCTCCTCAGAACAATTTCCCCACACCCACTCCCAGGCTGCTGATTGACCAGTTATGAAGGAATCACATCATGAATTATGTTTTGCACAGGCTTGCCTGCCCATCCTTTGTGTTGACCAAGGCCAAGGCACCGGGCAGAGCAAAGCACATTTCTTCCCCCCTCACTTCTTCCCTAATTGAAAATAATTGAGAAATCACTGAACAGTTTGGCATGGGGACAATTTCCGGTACAAAGAAAGGCGACAGAGAGCGGGCAGCTGGGACGCCCAGGGTGGCGAGCGAGGGAACTGATTGGTGGTCTGTGCGAGGGCGAGGCCAGGGGGCCTTACGTGTCGTAGAGCACAATGGTGCGGGAGCCAGTGGAGTTGTTGACGATGCAGCAAGAGCACGGGGTCTCCCCTCTGCTCTGCCAGGCCACCTGGGACACATCCACGCCCCGCTGCCTGAAGTCAGCCACCAGGAAGCTTGGGGCGGAGCCCGAGCCAAGGGAAGGGCAAGGAGACACAGATTAGAGCCTACAAGCGGCCTGGACCTCCTGCAGGGATGGGAGGGGTGCTGGAGCCCATGGGCCTCTCAGAGAAGAAGGGTCCTGTTCCAAGAGTTAGTGACAACGGCGACAGCTGGCAAGGCGCAGACAGGCATACAAACCTGTAGGCATGTAGGATGGTGCGGCTACCAGTGGCCTCACTGATGATGACCGTGGAGATGGGGACAGAGCCCGTGGTCTGGGAGACTGTGTAGCGTAGGTCCACGGAATAGCGGCGGAGGTCATCCAGGACAAAACTGCTGGGATGGAGTAACCCGCGGGGAGGTGCGGCTCGACAAAGGTTTGGAGACTGGAGGGCCGGTGGCAGGGCCGCTGGGGACCCTGGATGCAAGCGGGGGAGTGGGGGGCAGGAGGGAACTGGAAACCACCATGCTGTCCCAGGCTGTGCAAGGGGGAAGAAGAGGCAGGGGCGCATAGCGGGAACTCAGTGAGAAAAACACTAAGGGACATTCTTTTAGATCTTGATTGAAGTAAACTCCAACCCCGAACCTGGCCTCCGGGGCCTCCGGTCTGACTCAAGCCAGAAAGGATGTGCTGAAAATCATTAAACTGGATGGGGTAGATCAGGGGCCTAGAGCATGTACACCCTGTTTGAACAAAGCAGGTGAGGGCACCGTGGCCTGTTTCACGCACAGCCTAGGCAGAATTACGAATCACCAAGGTGGTACTCTGTTCCCCAGTGGCCCTCCACACACTCATCCTCACGGTACTCTTCTCTCGGAAGGCCCTTCCGGGGCCAAGGTCATTCGACACCTGCCTCCATAATGCCCAGCCAGGAAGTGGTGTGGCCTTGAGGCCACTCGTGGGACCCTGCTCTCACGGCAGGGTGAACCCTCCAGGCAGTGAGCTGGCTCCCAGTGCCTAATGCTCCTCAGAGTGGGCCTGGCCCGGGACTCTCACCCCAGACTCTCCTCCAATCAGAGTGAGCAGGAGGTGGCCCCTTGGGGAGCCTGCACCCACAGAACAAGGGGGCCACCCCACGTTTCCTGGCCCTCTCTGGAGACAGCATCCTGTGCCCACTAGTCAGCCACCATCCCGACCTTTCTCTCTATGGCTGGACCCCACTTTTGGCAACACCAAAGCTAGACAATACAGACTTGTATATAGGTACCAACTTGGGGCATTATTCCTCATCTCACACCTCAAGGATCCTTTAAATAGTAACTTTCCCAAAGCATCCCAACTATGGTTTGGTTTTCTGAATGACTTTTTGCACCCACAGTGCCTGGTACATGGTAGGTGCTCATTAAATGTTCGTTAAACACATGGGGAGAAGTTGGAATGGCCCACCTCCCAGCATTATCATTCCATAAAGGCAAGTCCACTATCCTAAGCAAGAGCCACAGTCTTGCCTCTTGCTGGGAAGGAAGACAGCCGCTGGAGAAAGTTAACAAGTGACCAGCTGTTGGCTCCAGGTCCCTCTGTCCCACCTCACAGGGCAGGCTCTTGCCCCCTGATCTGTTTCGTGCCAGTTCACTCAGAGGGCTGGGTTTGGGCAGCAACGCCCCTGAAACCAGGGTTCAAAGGGCTGAGTTTCCCAGACCAGCAAGCTGGCAGCCTGCCCTAGTGCCCACAGTGGGCAAAGTGTGGGCCTCACCTCCTGATAAGCATCTGCTGAACTGGCAGGGCCAGGGGTCAAAGGGCGTTTGGGTCCCTGCGGCAGCTAACACAGAGGAAGTGTGTGGGCCACCATGGGCTGCAGCCTAAATAGCTGGACAGCTGAGGCCTGGGTCTGGGCCCAGCGTTAGCACGTGGCTTCAGGGTGTCCTCGGGCAGGGTGCTCTTGTGGCTTCAGTGAACAGGGAGGACACCAGCACTTGCCCTGCCCCCTCAACGGGGAAAGAAACTGTGGGCTTGAACCCTAGGACCATGGAGGCTGGACATCCCCGGGCGGAGGATGGCTATGGCATGTCCCTGACTGCCTTCTGCCACAAGCATAGCCAGGACCACAGGGAATCGAGAAGGGCAAAGTCATATCCACCGCAGAGTCTGTTGGAAGCAAGGAAGGAAGAGGTGGGAAGCTGAGCAGGCTCCGGGGAGGGGCCGAGGAAACAGGCTGTGGAAGTGAGAGCTTTAGCAGGAGAGCCGTAACACCTGAGCAGCAGATAAGCTCACATGGGAGGGTCTAGGACACTGGTACTCCACTCCGCCCCCTCCAACTCTGGATCCAGAGTTATCCCACCCCATTTCTTATAGCCTGCCCCCTCCCCCCCCCACCCAGGGTCAAGACTTCCTTCTTTTCCACCTTCCCGCTCCCTCCTCCACTCACTCGGCAACATGGCCCTGGGCCAGGGAGCCCATGAAGGCGCAGGGGGCTCCAAGCAGGGACAGAACAGTGCAGGAGTTGGATGCGTTGCCTCCGCGCTGCCATCTTTGGGACAAGCACCTGCAAAACACACGGATGGTCCCTGCAGCTCCAGCAGGCTGGTGCCAGGATAAGCAAGGCCGGCCACAGTGCCCCGGGTAGGGCCCATGACGTGTAAAAGCTGGGAGCTCCCCCTCAGAAAGCATCTCGACCAGTCTTCTCATTTTCATGCATTTAGGTCCAGCACAAAGGAGGGCTCCACTGTGGGTGACCCCGTTCTCAGTTACGATGACCCGCCTCTCCCCGAGGTACAGAGCTGTCATACCTTCAGCCCCGATGGTTGGAGAACTCCAAGTACCTCTTCCCACAGGTGTCAAATCGGCTCCCTGCTCCCGTCTCAGGGGAGCCCACTTCAATAACTCGGGTTAAAGTAAGTAAGACAAGGAGTAAACCTGGACATTAAGGTCATTTAAGTGGGGGGCGGGGAGGGAAAGGGGAAGCTAACTTACATAATAATGTCAAAAGTTAAAAAGATTATTGGATGAAGACCAGTTTTCCTCCATTTTTTTGTTTCCCTTTCTTTCAGCTTTATTGAAATATAATGGGCATATAACATTCTGTAAATTTAAGGTATACAACGTGCTTTGAAACGGGCATATTGCAAAATGATTACCACAGGAAGGTCAGTTAACACACCACCCCCATCACACGATTACTTTTTTTTCTTCTTTCGTTTTTCTCTATCTTGACTGAAAATCTAACTCAAGGTGTAAACTGAGGAGACCAACTGGAGATGCACCTGCAGGGCTTTGTTGTTATCAACAACAAAAACAATGACTTACACGTGCATCAAAGCACTTTAATGATGTCTCATTGTGCGCCCACAATACTTTGGGGTAGACAGTGCAGGCTGTCATTTCTATTCTTCCAGTTCCAAAAAGAATAACTGTGGCCGCGTACAATAAGAACGACTAATGAAGAAAAATACAGGAAGCAGAATTTTTAGGCTAAGGTATATTGGCACATAAAACTTAACCCTGAAGTTCCCTTCAGTCTCGGGAAAAGGGGTCCATGATCTTGTTAGGAAGGATACTAGTTTGTAAAGGGACAAACATTTTTCGAGCTATGAGCTTTAGAGAAATTTTCATGCAGATTAGAACGGGGAGCCTTGTGGGATTTGACTGACTTGGGATCACACCAATAGTTAGTGACAAAGCTGCCATCAGAACCCAGGCAGCCTGACTCCAAAACCACCGCCATGTAATGTGTAGTTGTGAATGGAAAGTAGTCAGGCCCCGGCTTGGATGAGGTTTCGAAGAAAGTGTATACAATTTTACTTTGTGGAAATTATTCAAAGTCACACTGATACCCGACTTCCTGTGCAGAAATGCCCTGCTGAGCATGAGGATGCTTTCTGGAAGGCTCTTCTTGGCCTGGACTCTGGGAGGCGAGGCCAGAACTCAGGGGTCTGGCCAAATTCCAGGTGGTGGCTCCTGAGGGTCCCCAGATGCCTGTGGAGCCCGGACAGCCTAGGAGAGGTGGGGCCGAAATGCCTGGGAAGAACTGCGTCCCCACTTGGGCTTGCTCATCTGGGAGGCACGAGAGTCCAGGAGGTGGGAGGTGGGCTGGGTGGACTGAGCACGAGAGAGAGAGAGAGAGAGAGAGAGAGAGAGAGAGAGAGAGAGACAGGCCCTATGGACAACCACACCGCTCTGCAGAGGAGCAGAACCATGCGGCTGGGGGAGGGGGAGGAGGTACACCCTGCGAGCAGGGGGCATGGAGAACACGGTGCCCTCCTTCAGAATGAGCCTGAGCCCACCCTGGTGGGAGCTAGCAGGATCTCCTTATCCTAGCCTCTCCAGTAAGTAATCTCAAAGGGAATGGCACTGAAGCTGTCGTTGAAAGTGGCACTCTGGGTCTTCCCCAGGCCCTCCAGTCCTTGGGAGGACCTGCGGCCTTGGAACCCACACTGTTCTCTTGAGGAGGTTGAACTCCTCACTGTGCCCACGTCCTGTGGCCAGCTTGACCTGGCTAGGTCTACAAAGCAGCCTACCCTTGTGCCCCTCCCCCGCTGGCCCTGCCCTCCCTGGCAAGGGCTCTAACCTCTGGCAAACAGAGCAGCCCAAAGCAAAGGGTCAATTCCATGAGATGGGCAGCAGCAAAGGGAGAGGGAGCTCAGGAGATGACAGAGGGCTGGAGCGCTAGATTCCCAAGAATTGTAATTACTGCTTTGCCACTCACTCACTATGTGGCCTTTACAATAATTATTTAATTTCTCCACAGAGATAGCTGCTTCCTCATCTGTAAGGAGGGAATTTGACTGACCCTTACACATTTCCCATGGGCTGCTGTAAGCAAAGTATGTGACAGTGCTAGGTGGACCCAGACCCTGGAGACTACTCGGGTCTCTCTCCTCAATCAGAACAGGGAGAACTGGGTATTCATGGCTATGAGTGCTATAGTGTCTTGTCTGAGTTAAACCTTGAACTAGCCATTTATCCAGTTCTTGGCTGAGAAAACTGATAGCCCAGGAGCAATTCTCAGGATTCTAAGCACCAGACAGCACCAAGAGAAAGGCTCGGATTCTGCCTCATAGAAATGCCCTTCTGGGATTACAGTGTAAAGGTGAGGTTCTTACCAAGAGTAAATATGAGAGCCAACGAGCGACTTCTACCAGACAACCAAAAAGGATGTTATTCACTGATTTTGTAAAAAGGACTTCTGGTAAACTCCTTTTGGAATTTAGCACCAGGGAAAAGTTGGTCATGCACATGAGCCAGCTCTATCCATAACCCACAGAATTTCTAAATTTGCCTCTAGTGCCAGCCAAGCTCTGAAGCTATAGTGAAGCTCAAATACCATGGTTTTAAGTGTTCTTGCACTCTACCTGCACATACTTATTATTGAAAGCTACCTCAAAATTTATTTAAGAAACAGATGAGATATACGTAGTAGAGAAATTAGAAGTAAACACTGGTGAGAGACAAGTGCATCGGTCTTTTTGTTAGAAAGAAAGAAGCTGGTCCTGCCCCTTACTAGTTGCATGCCCTTGGATAAATCACTTCATCTCAAAGAATTTCTAAACGCGGATAATGATTCCTGAAACGGGAATTGGCCAACGCAGTGCTATCCAAAGCCTGGGTCTTATTATTAACGGCCTCCATTCTTTCCTAGGTCCTCCGGGGCGGAGGGCACGGGATACCAGCTCCCGAGGCTGGACTTTCACTGCGGGGCCCGCAGACCTGGGGATGGGTTCTTGGTTGTCGGGCTCAAACGCGGGGCTGCAGCGGCCCCTGGGGTCTCCGAGGGGCCCGGGCGCCCCTACCTGCTGTCGGTGTCCTCCTCTGGGTACTTGTCCACTACATTGATGATGTCCAGCACCACTAGCCCCACGCACAGGATCTGCTTGTCTTCCATGAGCCTGCTCCCGGAGCTTTCTGCCCGCCTGGCTGACGGGGTTCCTCCTGGGCTCTGCCTCTTATCCCAGAGGGTTGTGTCCCTGCTTCTGGGGTTGACTTGGCTCCTCCTCTGCGTCCCGAGCTCCTCCCCCAGGGGGCCTCCTGCGGCCGGGAGAGAAGGGAGCAGGTCCCTTGCTCCCCACGCCCGCCGATTCAAGCGGGCCTGGGAGCGCAGACCCCGAGGCTTTGGTCCCCGGCTTCCCCTCAGCAGGTGGCGTGGCCCAGCAGATGGCAACGCCTCCCACTTCTCGGCCTCACTTGTCAGACAGCCTCGGAGCTAATGCAAACCTCTCTAAAGCGCAGCTAGGCAATCTCCTGAATGCAAAAAAAAGTGCAGTACCAAGGCGCCTCCTGCCCCTTCCTCTCCTGCACCGGCGGCTCGCACTCCAGACCCTAGTTGAGTTGAGCCGGGCCTCGCAGCTGCGCCCTGAACCCTTCAGCCCTAGCCGTCGCTCGCGCCGTCTGCGCCCCGCCCCCGAGGTCCAGCCAATCCCAGCTCGAGGCCCCGCCTCCGTCGCCGAGCAGCGGGGGCTGCTAGGTGAGCGGCGGAGGTCACGTGACGGGGGCCGGCTCCCAGGACCCCCTGGCGGACGCCGGCGGAACGGGCATTCGGGGGAGGAGCGCCGGGCCGCGGCCCAAAGCAGCCGGCCCCTCTCTCCGCAGGCGGGTGCACGGCAAGCGCGCACAGAGCCACCGAGCCGGGAGGTGGGGGCGATCAGGTTAGGGAACCCAGGGCTCCCCCCTTACCCCGGCCCCTCTGTACTTCTCTCTACCCTTGAACACATACTGGAGCACACAGTTTCTTTTGTTTTGTTTTCTTTTTTAGAAAAACCAAGTGTCTTTATTCCTGAATAGTTTAGTATGGCGATGGGGGCCGGAGCCCCTCGGGAGAGCCCTGCATCGGCCTAGAGACCCGCTGGAGGAGCTGCGAGGGTGCGAGGATTGGCTCCTCCGCAGTCTGGGCCCTGCAGGGGACGGCGAGCAGGCCAAAAGTCTGGACGAGGGGACCCCAGAGTCCCCGACCCGGCGCACTCAGGCCATGGAGAGGAGTGCTCTGGGCGCCTGTGCCACAGAGGGTACGGGACGGCGGCTCGCCTAGGGCTGGAGTGCCAGGACGGAACCCCGTCACCCCCGCTGGCTCTTTGGCCCGCGTAGACACTTCGGGCTGGTCGGGCCCAGCCCCGTCTACACCTGATCTAGCTCCAGGTCCCCATAGAGCAGGGCTCCGCTGAAGATGGTGAGCGGCTCCTCCGAGTGCGCCAGCTGCCCCATGACCAGGTCGATGCAGACCGTGTCTCCAGCCTGCAGAGGCAGGATGAGGCTGAAGACGCCCAGGGCGCCGGGGCTGGGCTGGCTCTCAGCTACTGGCTTATTCTCCAGGCCCTCAGGCTCATAGCCACCAGAGTCTATGCGGGCCACGCCCAGGTTGGAGCGGGACAGCACGGCCTCCACTTTCTCGTGCCGGTGCCCGGTCAGCACCGCGCTCAGCAAGTAGCGCCCGGCCAGGGGCGCTGTGAACACGCCTGGGGACAAGGATGGCAGTCAGGAGGGGAGACAGGTGGCAGGGACCAGGGAGGTGTTGGGGAGCCCTCCCAGAACTCCTGGACTAAGGAGAGACCTGCTGGGTCTTGTCACCTGTCTTCCACTAGAATGTAAGTTCCACCACGCCAGGGAATTGGGTGTTTTGTTCATTACGGCAGCCCCAGGCCTCCAAGAAAGAAGCGCTCCTTCCCCCCACCCTTAGCCCAAGCTGTGGTGAGAATGAATAAATGAAGGAAATAGGGGTCTCCCCAAACCAGAGCATGAAAAGATTCCCCTTGCCCGAGGGCGCAAGAATGAGAACATATCACTGCACAGCCTCCCAGGCCTGCCCCACTGCCCAGCCAGCCTGCTTCCAGGCTTACCAGTCTCTGGATCATAGTAGCCCCCATCGTTGAGCAGGACTCTGTCGAAGGGCACTGTGCCTGGTTCGGACCGTGGCAAACTCAGGGCAGCTGAAAAGGCCACCCGGGGCCCGGGGGCTGCTGGTGCCCCCTCCACTCCTGGGTAGGGGTAAGGTGGGGGTCAGAGTGCATGCTCAGTGCAGAGCTGCCTGGCCCCCTTCCCTTCCTGGGTCTCTCCCTCCAGGGCTGCCTGAGGCCTTCCATCCTCCAACCCCTAGTTCAGTTCCACTCCCTCCAGCACCAAATGAAAGGAACTTACCCTGCTCTCCCTGGGGACCTGTGGGAAGAGGAGAGGGAGGAGTGAGAAGTGGGGCAGCTCTCACTAAGTCACTCAGCAAACATCTGCTGCGTCTCTCTAGATGTGCTAGGTGTCACATAGACTCCAAAGCAGGAATGGGGGTATCAAGAAAAGGAAGAATAGGGTCCATCCAGTTCAACTAGCCCCCAGCCTTTCACACCCTTCATAGCCCTGTGAGCTCAGCCTTAGTCTTCAATACAGCACTAAGGCCACCATATCCAACTAGCCCATATAGTGACTGTCCCAGCTCCTAGTCACTGTCAGCCATGTAGGACTCCCCACTCCCCCAACTCCTTGCCCCTTTCCTCCCTTCTCTGTCAAGTTCAGAATGGAATGAATGTCAAGCCTAGGGCTGCTAGAGGTGTGGGGAGCCCTGGCTGCGGTAGGAACCTCAGCTCACATACCTGGTGGCCCGATGGGCCCCCTTTGTCCCTCCTTGCCTGGAAGTCCTGGAGGTCCAGCAGGGCCTGGTGGTCCCTGTATCCCAGGAGGCCCTGGGAGCCCAGCCTCACCCGCAGGCCCTACAGTGACAAAATTAAGTTGAGGGAAAGCCACAAAAGGAGTTTCCAAAGGACAAGGAAGGTCGTGGCTCCATGGGCAGGTTGGTGGGGCTCCTTGCTGCCCATGCTGGATACCTGGCTGTCAGAGCAGCACCCCACCCCTACCCACTGGCCTGTATGAGCTGCCAGGGGAGAGTGGGGAGCTGGGAACTTGGGTCATCTCTTGTGGACAAACCAACCCCCAGGACAGTGGTGGGTCTGTAATTCATGCTGGGCAGAGCAAGGAGAAAGTATATAAGGTTAAGACTGGCTGTTGTGGAGGAAGGAAGGAGAAAGAAAGGACTTGAAAGGGGTCCCCCCACCTCCCACTGCATGCTTCCTCTTGCCCCCTCACCAGTGAAGTCCTTCAGACTGAGCTGGTGAAGCTGGTCCTCCAGGAGCAGCACGGAGCTGTTAAGGGCACCGAGCCGCCTGCCCAGGCCTGCCTGCCCCCCCAGCAGCTTCTCTAGCAAGGCTGCCTGTGTCTGGCTGGTGCTGTTGGTTTCCCGGAGCCCAGCCCAGAGCCCCGCCACGTGTCTGGAAAGGCCCTCGCGCAGGCCCTGCAGTCCCCCGGCCACCGTGTCCAACCGCTCACAGACTCCCTCGAGGCGGCCCAATCGCCCCTCTAGGCTGGGGCACTGGCCGGCCTGTGCCTGTCCCTCTTCGAGGCCTCGGAAGCGCTCCTCACTCTCCGCGGCATGCTCTGTGGCCTCCTGCTGCAGCCTGTTAATTTCCGAGATGATGCGGTCCTTGGTGGCTCCTAGGTCAGCCAGATCAGCACCCTGGCCTTCCACAGTGGTCTGGAGCTCATGCAGTGAGTCGTTGAGAGAGCTGAAGGTGAGAATAACCTCCGAGAGCTCTCCTTGCAGGGCCTGGAGGGCTGAGCCTGAGCTCCCCCCAAACACACTGAAGCCATCCAGAGGCCCTCGGCTTGGCCCCCCAACACCTGGGCCAGCCCCAGGGCCCCGTGGGGGCAACAGGGGGCAGGAGCAGCGCTCCACACCATCCCGAAGGCGGCCCAGCTCCTCTTGGACACCGCCACAGGCCCCGCAGCCCTCATCCCCACGGGCCTGCAGTAGTCCCTCCAGTTGGCCCAGCCGTGTGGCCGTGAGATTCAGCTGCAGTGCAAACTCTGCAATTGTCTCGTCCTGCGCGTCCATGCGACCCTGGAGCTGGCCCACGACCCCTTGCAGTTCCTCCAGTGCAGCCTGCTGGGCCTCCCCAGCTGCTCCCACCTTGTGCAGGCCTGAGCCCACCAGATGCAGCTGCCCCTCGCTGTCTAGCACCCTGCGCTCCAAGGCACTGAGGATCTCGCTGACCTGGGAGTCCTGCTCCCCAGGGGCCCCAGAGCAGAGCTGCCCGCACGCCTGCACGGCCCCTGCCACCTGCTCTTCTAGCAGATCCAGCCGCCCACCCAGCACCCCACTCACGTTGGCCAACAGTCCCTCCAGCTTTTCTAGTCGGCCCCGGGCAGCAGGCAGCCAGTGGCCCAGGCCCCCAGGCCACCCAGGCCAGCCCTCCTCCTGTTCTTCTGAGGGACCCAGAGTAGAGTTGAATTGGTCCTCCAGGCGAGAAAGGCGGGACACTAAGCTGGTGTAGCCTGGGGGGTGGCCCCCCTGCCCCGCCGCTCCTCCCAGCTCAGTGCCTCGCCGCCCGCTCAGCACTGTCACCGAGCCGGCCACTACATCCAGCCTCCGCTCCAACTCGGCCAGCCGCCGGCCCAGCTCGGGAGGGCAGCACTCCTGAAGGGGCCTGCGGCCCACAGCATGCCCGGGGACCTGCCGCTGCCGCTCTTCCACGGAGGCCAGTAGCTTCTCCAGGGCCCGCAGCCGCTCTCTGTCCTCCTGTTGCTGCTGGCGGAAGCCATCGAGCCCCGCCAGGCACACCGAGCAGGACTCCTGCAGCCGCCGCTCCAGCTCCCGCAGCAGCTCCTCACTGGGGCCCGGAGGGGCCGGGGTGGGGTCCAGGGCCCCGCCGCCGCCGCCGCCGCTGTGATGGTTGTTGAGATGGCCCAGCTCCTGGTCGTGGGTGGAGACGCGGTTGTCCAGGAGCTGCAGCTGCTGCTGGATCTCACTGAGGGTTTCGTGCACGCCGGGGCGGGCCGCCGCATCTGCGGGCTGCTGCCTCCCGTTAAAGGCCGTCTCCACAGCCCTCTGGACGTCTTCAGCCAGGCGCCCACTCAGTCCCTGCAGGACACCTCGGAGGCCCTGCAGCTCCTTTGTCAGGCCCTGCACCTGCTCCTCCAGCTGCTGCACCTTCTCTGAGTCCCCAGGACCTGGCAGAGAGGGGACGGCATCAGGCACGGGGGCCGGACCTCAGGGCTCAGTGCCTACCTCCCAGGCCCCGCTCTCCCCATCTCCAACACGAGGTCCTCGCTGATTTGGCCACTCCTTAGCTGGGTACTTTGGGCAAGAAAAGGTGGAAGGAAACTCCATTTACTGAATGCCTCTAGGCCAAAACCGTACCATGGCTTTTCCCCCCTTAAAATAGACTCCATTGGACAGACACGGCAGCTTTTCCCATTTGGTGGACCGTGAGAAAGAGAACCAGAGGAAATTAAGGAACTGGGCCCTGGATTACAAGGTTAACAAGCGGCAGAGCCAAGTTTCAAACCCAGCTCATCCATCTGACCACCAAGTCTACTGTCCAGAGTGTCTTTCAGAAATTGCTTCCTCATCTGTGAAATGGGAATGTGGGGAAGCACTGTGGGCCCCACAACAGTGGCTATTCCGAGCAACGTCTCTCCATAACACCCCAGGGACAGACGAGGTTCCACGGGAAGACTGCGGGGGCTCTGGCTGGAAGGTGGGAGAGTCAGCCAGAAGTTCCTGTTTCCATCATTACAGCATGACTATCTCCCTGGCAGGCAAACACAGCACGTCCGCAGTGCCCAGCGCGCACGCACACTCCAGGAGGCCACAGGGACTGCTGCATTCTGGGACCTGCAGTCTCCAGAGGCCACCGAGGGGCCTGGGACCTGTAGTCGGGTGCGGTGCATTCTAGGACTTGTAGTCTGAACGGTCTATCCCCTTGGTGACCAAGCTTCTCGAAGGAATTCCCCCTTCCTCCCAAAGCCGTTCCCAACTGGGAAGTATCTCGGCCACGTGTGGGCGTGCGTGAGCACATTCTCTTTCTCTGCCTTCTTTCTCTCTTGATCTCTCATTCTGTTTCTCTCTGACTCACAAACACACACACACACACTACACACACTACACACACACACCACACAC